AAATCTATTTATTTTTGACCCAGGAAAATACCCAATTATTGAGGTAGCGAGAAATATTAGGATCTATCCAAAATACATACTACGTACTCGCAGATGTTGACAGCACCGTCACAGTATTGTTTGGACAGAATGGTTTGAAAACCACTTACAACCATGTCTTTAAAAAAATACACACAAGCCTTAAATTCTTGTTATGAGTGTGAATAAGCTCGTCATATTTTGCAAAGCAATTAATAATCTTTATAAGTTGATACTCACAATTCATTTCCTTGCTATCTTCACAATCAAACTGAAGCATATTTATATCATATTAAAATTTGTGCATAAAACGAACATAGATAAATATTATAGTAATACCAAATTAACACACATTTACATGTATATCATGTATATCTTAAGAAGTATCTCAAAGTTCTCTGGTAAATTAGAACTCATTAGTTGCAATTTGTAATTAATCAAACTAGATCGTGATGAGAGTAGACTGGTTTAAGTTAATTTTATTGCAATTTACAACGTCTGGTACTGCAGGGCTTTTAACTACATCCGTTTGAAATGATACTACATGCTCGTAATTATGAAATAGAGTAATGTTGTGTTGAACTGTTCGTATTGAAACTTCAAGAAGATATATTAAAGGAATTTACGCAATATGACTGCCTCGTTGGCCGAGTGGTCGCAATTGCGACTGGCGAGCAAGGGGTCTCGGGGTCGATTCACGGGTCGGGCAAAGTATTACTGGGTTTTTAAAAATTCTCAGTAGTAGCACGGAGTCTGGAACTGTGCCCGGTATATGGCAATAAGCGTACCCCCTATTACATGGGACTCAAAGCACAAATAGTGAAAAGTGGCTGTTACATTGTACAGTGGTATAATGTGCACCTCTGCCTACCCCTTCGAGGATAAAAGGCGTGATGTTATGTTAATTACGCAATATTCATTAAGAAGGAGACTTTTATTACTGTATTTCTATATCTATGTATTACTACATTATATGTAAGTAATACGTACATTATTACTCATTCTAGTCTAACAGGACTTTCGATTTAGCGAAAATTCGCGAAAACTGACACTGAACATTTCACATTCAGAAGAAAGTTGCATTACGAAGCATCATATAATACCTACTTTAATGAATGATAGACGTAGACAAAATTTATGGCATCATTTATTATTGGCATAATTATAATGATAATATATTGAGGAAATTGTTAGCTATTTCTTAATATTAACCATTTATAATCGTCATACATTTACGACACGATTAACTCGGTGTAACTTTTATTACTTTCTATTAGTATTTAATATATGAAGTTAAATTCTAGTACTTTTAGTTTAATATTGCCCCAACTATTCTTAGCTAACTTGACTATAAAATAGGTGTCAAATTAGTCATTATATGACTATTAATGGTGAGGGTTTACGTGCCTATGAAGACCATTTAATATTTTATTTATACTCTTATGTTATTACCTAGGCCTATTTACTTAACTTAGCGACATAAATATGAAATGTATATTCAAAATTGTATTCGTGAATTTTTATTATTTAATCCGTGATAAAATCATAAACTGCTCAACAGATTTTATGCAATGGGCAATGTGAGCAAGGTGTAAATTACTACTGAGGGCCGATTTTTCAATGCTAGTACGAGAGATGACGACCAAAACCATGTCTCATAGCAATACGGCAAAAGCCCTATAAAATTGTTAGATTGTATGATTCTGAACCCGACTAGGTGTGTAGTAACGGTCGAAAGTGTAGCAACTGCGTGGGAGGCCATTTCTGCTGTATCAAAAAATATCTGAGTATTGAAAAGTTGTCTGATAGAGAAGGTGCTACACTTATTTTGTATAATATACTTATATAATAATACATTCAAATATGACGTTGAATAGACAGCGGCATTGTAACATAGAGCCTTTGTTTCAAAAGGATGTCAATATAAGACAGATATCAAAACTTTTTTCGTTGAAACTTCTTGGTATTTGCCAGTCTGCCTGTCTTCGTTCGTCTTCTATTAATAGTTTTACAGCGAGTGACGTGCTTGCAGGATACTTTGCACGCATGACTAGTTGATAGGAATGAGAGGGCAAAAAATAAGGCCTGGTCATCGCTCGGAGTCCTAGCGTTTTTATTTCTTTCAACACTCCTGTAGTTCAATTAACTAAGTACGCATATATGTAGATTATTAATTGTGTAAGTGATTTCTGGATAAAGAAGTTAATGTTTTATTTAGGTAAAAAGTACTGGTGTATTTATTTTGAGTAGATTAATTAGGTTACCAAGTTATAGGTGTCATCCTAACGTTACTTATAAATTACATTCCTTTGGTATTTAGTTCACTAGAATGCAAAAACGCATTGTTCTAATTTCTTTCAGTAGCGACTTAGCAGTAAAAACTAAATTAACACACGTACCATTGTATTCGTAAAGTTTTATTTTATTTGTGAATACGTAAAACAGAGTCGAAAATCTAGTTCTTACAAAAGCGAGAGTGACCTCATTTCTAGTAAAACTATTCATTTTTTAACAATAAATCTTTCAGTTGAACTTTCTCACTAAACTTTCGATAATACGATCATAAATACATGAAAAATCATTGACAATTTAAAAAGATATTTGTTTTCTTTTGTTACTAAAAAAATATTTAAATATGGAATCATTATAAACACTGAATAAACGACTTTTTTTCTAGGTAAAGAAAAATAAAGTTTTGCGTAATTACAACACTGTGTTTAAAAATAACTTTAAATCCTCAACGTATATTCATTCACAGGCAATTAACACAATGCGTAACCAATATTCTATTTTTAGCGCCATTAGCATTCGAATCCGCTATTTTGTTTTTAATGACAGAAAGGAAAGTTAATGTTTATAGTGAAAGGATTATACATATACAAGCGTTTGTACGCGGTTACACTTGCGCGTAATATTTCCCTTCCGTGGGCAGATTTATAAAAAACAAAAAAATTACATACATTTGAAAACACCATACATCTTGAAAATTTCTATATAACTCCATACAAACTTCTATCCACTATTTTAGGGAAGTGGGGGCTTAGAAAGAAAATTTCCGCCCCTTTAATAATCTCCTCTTAAAAAACTGGTCAATTCGTCGCACCGTATTACCGTGAAAGATAGAAAAATATACAGACACTTTTGCATTTATATCTAATGGAATTCATATTGTACGTACTAGTGATAGGTACCTTACTTGAGTGAGCCAGTCTAAGGGAAAGGGAATTAGCAGTGTCCAGTGTAAAGTGGATTAGAGAAAATGGCTAGCGGTGATGTAAACTCATTACTTAGGTACATGAGGTCCAAGTACGTAAGTACGTAGGCATGTAAAGGCTTTACGCGTGATAAGTGAATAAATATTGACTGTAGAGTAGGTGCTGACTTCGTTTCTTCCGTAGTCATTAGATAAATACATATAGATGGGTGACCACATACATGAGTAGATTTTTATTAGGTTTAAAAATTATACGGTTGATATTCCTGGTTTAGTCTCGGCCAATGTGGATATATCTTGGTTTTATATGCTGTATTACAAAAATGTACGATACATTAAGATAAGCTTTCCTTTGGTTAAAAACTGCCACAATATAAGGAATATCACGAAGAGGCTTCATAAAAAAAACACAAGCGGAACTACTAAGGTAATAGGGCTACATGATTGAATCAATTACTCACGAACACAGCCCAAAATGTCAATAGTACCACAGACATCACCAATTTGTTTGTAAATGTCTTTTACTCAGCAATTGGAAAGTTTACCGAACAAGGTAGTAAAATGCCATGCTTCCATGGCTATCAGAGAAGGTAAAAGTGCATTACCGGACAACTGCCACTTGAAACATGGTGTTGAAGTGATCTCGAATAAGTTGTTCGCGAGAAAGTAGGGACGGTATCAATGTACTTCATCTTGGATGTGAAACTTGAGAACAAGGACGCTATACGTGTAGATAATAAAGTCTAGATTGTTCACGATTAGCATGTATATTAATAAAATTAAGTATCTTATTTTTTTTATTACTTCATAAAGAGAATAAGAAGGAATCATGTTTGTATATTGTATTTTTATAGTTCTAAATAAAGTTATCTTGCAATATTTTGTAATCGAAAGTCCGATTTTAGCTCTAGCCTTATTCGTTATGATCTGATACTGATTTTGACAAACGAGTAGTCGTTGGAATCGAGTTAATTAATGGCTCGAGTTTCGAAATCGATTTATCGTTTAGGCATCGTGCTGTTTGAGAAGGAGATTGTCCTTCCATAAATATTATTGGTCGAGTAGAATGCAAGGTCCTTGTTCGTAAATTGGTTAATTTTATGTATTGTATATTAGTATAAGTCACGAAATATGTACATTTGAAGCTTTTAACCTTTTATGACACATTAGAAAATACATTGTGTCTCACGTGGATCCTTGTTTATGCACAAGATGGGTTATATTGAAGTACCTATTAGGTACCTAGTATAATCTTCGTAGGTAGTAAAATTGTACTTGCAACTTTGTTGTGATTGAGTAATTTAGATTAAGTGTACTAAATCGTTTGTTAGGTACTTCACAGGTTACATTTTTATGGCTGCTATATTATTAAATAATCTACATAAATAAAAATGAATTTTCATTCGTTAGTCTCGCTAAAACTCGAGAATGACTGAACCGATTTTGCTAATTTTATTTTGGTTTTGAGATGATCGTGGTAGGTCAAGTTTAAAAGGTGAGATAAACATTTTTTAGGCGGTACGAAATTTGTCGGCTCAGCTAGTCGTCAATTTTTTTATTAGGAATCTTGGCAGGCTGTATCTATGCACGTCCGCCTCATTAGTCGAGTAAGTCTTAGTCTTTATTGAAGTATTTGATCTAGAAATTCGCGGTAGGACGAAGTCAGGAGACAGGGGTAGTGGTAATTTTGTTTCATCGTTATCATCATTAACCCGTATTAATGCACAAGTAAACATAATTCTCTCCAATAGTAACCAATCCTAGCCATATGATCCGATCGTTAATTCCTGGTAGATACGGTAGTATCTACCAGGTACACAGGTACAGGTTACCAGGTAAATTCAGTGGTCTGTTACCACAGACCACTGAATTTTTGACGTTGTGTTTTATTGTTGTATTTTCTATCACAATTTTAATAGTGTTATCATTCCATTGTTCCAGGACAAGTGAGCTAGTGGCTCTGATTGCAGTATCATGCACGTTGTTCCTGTTCCTCCACACACGAGATCTGAGCACCAAGCTGCGGCGGATGGAAGGTCGGCTTAATGATGACGTCACCGCCTTCAACCATCTTACAGACAGTTAGTATCTAATTTTATATAGTTTTAACGACAATATAAGCTCATAGTTTCATGGCAATATATGGTTTTTAAAATTTATACACATACCTATATATTATGTGTAAACCTACAGCTTGTAAGTGCTAATTGCTCGTTTCTGTAAAAAGTGTCGTAATTTACAATCCTTTTCAAGCAAAAAGCAGACCGGCAGGTGTTATTTCTGTTGTATTTTCTAAAAAAATGTACGTTACCATTTTCTTTTTATTTATTATTAAGTACCTACATAAAATTTTAATATTATGGTTTTTATCCCGGTCTTCTTAATACCCGAGCGTGGTAAAGTTTTATATATTTTTTAAAGATTGAAACTAGACTCTAACCTCAATTAGCCTTTATTTATAGAGTAGAGAGTCTGAACCCTGGAAGCGAGTGCCAGTTTGATGGCTAGTATAAGGAAAACTGTAATTCACAACTTTCATCCAAGAGTTTCTTACGGAAAATCTATCTGAGTATAAAAGGCCAGTGCTAAAACTTTCTCGCTATCGATCACATAGCCATTTAACTATTCGGAAGCCTTTCGCAAACAACCGTAAATTATCTTATGTTTAATCATTGATTTTATCACAAAAATACTCATAGAGGAACCAAAGTTGAATAACCTTATACGGGTACATATGTATAAGCAGGCGCTGCATAATAAAAGATGTTATTGGAGATTACTTAATAAAATGTGTCCATAAAATATTATAAAGAGGAAACATTCGTTTGTCTGTGTTTTTGCGTTGAGTAGGCTCCAAAACTACTGAACCAATTTTAAAAAAATACTTCACGACTAAGGTGTTTTCTTTTCAATGAATAATTTTAGGCTACGTTTCATCCCGATATCTATTCCTAAACCGAAGTGGAACCTACTGGACAGCACAGATATAAATTCTGTAGCCGAAGCCACGGGCGGAATGCTATAGTTTCCTATAAATATATGATAGTCTTATATAGGAATTTCGTATAATTTCACTCGATAAGCTACAAGCTTCGTGTTATGATAAATGGTAGTTTAGCACGAGTAATTTAACGTAATATATTATTCCGTTAATCTTTCGATTAGGAATTAATATAAAAGTCACGTAAACTTACTAATAAATTACGATTAATTTTTGTTTTTAGACACGAAAATTGTATAAGCGTTTGTACAATGTAAATACATTATTTATAATAAGTAATGTGAATAAGAAAGGAAGGTATTGGGCTATAATTAAGTTTGAAAGTAAAATTATGACAATATTTAAACAAACTTGAAGTCAGACTAAAGAGAGGTTGATTGCTAAGTTATGATAGCGTCTATGTTTATGTGTATATCGTTGATATGACTTAAATCTATCTATTTAAATAAAAATGAATTTCCGTTCGTTAATCTCGATAAAACTCGAAAAAGTCTGAACCGATTTGGCTAATTTTGATGGTCTTGAAATGTTTGAGGAAGTGTAGGGAATGTTTAACAGCGAATGTGTTTTTTAGGCGGTACCTACGAAGTTTGCCAGGTCATCTAGTTAATATATGAAAATAGCATAGTACAATTATGAGTATTTCCAAATAGGAAAATACTGCCTCGTTGGCCGAGTGGTCGCAAGTGCGACTGCCGGGCAAGGGGTCATCAATCAGTCAATCTCAGTACTAGCACGGAGTCTGGAAATGTGCCCGGTATATGACAATAGGCTCACCCCCTATTACATGGAACTCATAACGTAAATAGTGAAAAGTGGGTGTTACATTGTACAGTGGCATTAAGTGCCGAAATGTGCACCTCTCCCAACCCTTCGGGGATAAAAATCCATGATGTTATGTTATGTTATGTGAAAGTAATGTAGGGTCTAGTAAAGTTACATTAGAGATGTCCGATGTCCACATAAAAGTCTTACAGCCAATAATTATCTTTATTATTTTATTAGTACTAAAAAGATGATGTAATTGGCCCTAAGTATTAAGGAAAATAATTATAGAACTTAACTGACTCAATTATACAAGTGCTCTTTAATATAACTTAGAGAAAAGTAATTAAAACAAAACTAATTTCTCAACTAACATGCGATCGTCTAAGTACTTAGAAGTTGTAGTACATAATTATGAACCTATCTTATAAAATTACTAGCTTTTACCCGCGGCTTCGCTCGCGTCACAAAAGGATAAAAAGCCAATGTGCACATATACACACAGCGCCATCTTTACCAATACTTTTGTTTTTTTCTCGGGAATATTAAATTTTTCCGGGAGAAAAAGTACCCTATTATTTAATCCGGACTTCTAACTATACGTATACATCTGCAAAAATTCAAAGCAAACGGTTTAGTGGTTATGGCGTTAAAGTGGAACAAACAAACAAACTCACTTTCCGATTTATAATGTAAGTAAGAATAATACTTAGGTACTAGTTTATCTCAAGATATTAACTAGGAAATGACTCAATCATAGTTAGATTCTGTCTAGATAAAGACTAATTAAGGCTGGAATCTGTAGCGGTGCTTCGGATAATCGTAGGACTAATGATCATGAATCATTATGTCCCAACATAGATCATTTGTAACCAAATCGAATCGATTTGTGTGAATCTATTTGATCTATCGCTTCTAGAGTATATGCTAATTGACACTTGATACTCTGATCTTAATAATTCTATCTGATTGACGTCCTTTGAACAAAACTGTATTATAAATAGGTACTAGCTCTTGCCGGCGACTTCGTCAGCGTAGAATATTAATTTTAGGACATAACTATTTTTGGCTTCAATTTTCCAAAATAAAAGTAGTCTATATTACCCCTTAGTACATCAGCTACCTGCTAATAAAAGTCCCGTCAAAATCAGTTTAGCCATTCCAGAGATTAGCTAGTACAAACAGACAGACAGACAAAAGTTGTAAAAAATGTGATTTTGGCAAGTGTATCGTATGTCGATATGTATATTCACATACATATAGTAAAAATCGGTTACTTTAATATTACAAACAGACACTGCAATTCTATTTTTCTGTGTAGATTAGTCGTATCTCTATGGATACATTCAAACTTTAAAAGGCCGAAATTATGAATTTAAAGGGCGAAGTAGGCCCAAAATTATGAATGCCCATGTATGTTTTATTTGGTAAACCTTGCTTGAAACAGTAATCACTCTAATTTACTCCGCAATTACAAAAATCTGTATTTACCTATACCTATTTGCTTTACATAGTTCCTTCAAATGACAAAATTACATTTAATAACTCACACTGAAATATTTTTAGTGGAAATAATTCCCCCCTGAAAACAACTTCCGGCACAATAATTCGTCTAAAGTACTAGCTTCCTATTTGTACAATTCTCACAGTTAATATTATAAATGGCTCCATTGTTCGTACTCTGATAAGTGCAAAAAGTTTACGAAACAATAAATTATTTTATCTTTCCACACTTCGTAGGTAATCGTGTTTTGAAGTGTATAACATAAGATGTTAGATAATGATCCATGACATACGATTAATTTTCTATGTTAGTATCTTGTTAGTGACTGGAGGTAGCGACAACCGTAAAATTAGAGGCAGCTTGTTAATCTGTCTGTGTGTTTATTATAATCAGGAACTCATATCGTTTTTGTTTATTTCTTTGCATTGCAGAGGCTCTAAAAGTACTGGACCGATTCGAAAAAAAATCTTTAACTTTAACCCGTTGACAATTTGAAAATCATCTCCTAAATTTGTTCATACAAATGTAGTCTCTATACATTGGAAATAAGGTCTATAATATAGTTAGTGGAGAGCGGTCACCGGTCATCGCTTGGGGATATACCTGTAAACTTTTAAGGGAGTAACATAGTTTATCATATTTTCAGTTTTCATTTATTCTCAATAATTTTTGAGGGATTAATATGGGCTACTTCTCTTATCCTGATATTCCTATAGGGTCGGGATCAATACGAGAATTTTATTCTAAATTCAAAATGGGACGGGGCGCCAATGTCTAATTGTTGGATGTGTAGTGTACTCCATATTATCATATTATGTTGTCTAACTAATCGTGTATGAGATGAAATACAAAACTACAATGAAATACTAAAATACTTGTTAGGTACCACGTTTTTGACGGCACGGTTGGTGCGGTAGCTGGCCAACTGACTGCCGCGCAACGTGTAACGAGTTCGATTCACACACGGAGCAATTCTTCGTGTGATCCACAAATTGTTTTTCCTGGTTTGGGTACCATATGTATGTGAACGTGTATGTTTGTAAACGTATCCACGTCACAGGAGAAAATCTCTTCCGTGCCGCTTTCTGTTATGTAAATAATGGGATGGACAAATAAATCAAAACATGGTAAAGATGTTAAAATATACGAAAAGTTTACAAAAATTTACCTACACAGTCAATTTTCACTAGATATATCCAAATTATAAACAAGATACAATCAAAACTAACAAATTATACTACATTCCTATTCAAATAAAAGTCCAGATTCACTAAGAGACATTAGCATTCGAATTTTAAATTGCGACGCGCGTGCGCATTTACACACAGAGGTGAAATAACGTGCGGTGGTCGCATTGCACGCATTGACACGGTGTCCCACTTTTTAACGGAGTAAATTCGAGACAATCCGTTAATTTACGCGTGCTTTATTGTTACCCCGGCCTGTCATATACAGAGCAAAGTTGAATGCTCCCATTCAGATTTAACTGTAATGCTTCCGTGATAAACATCAAGTGACACGTGAAATATTTCCCTACAGTTAACTAATGACATCAGCATTCATTCAAAGATTCCTAGATTTTTTGTGTGTGAAGCAATTAGCGAAATTCCTAATGCTTTAATTAAGTTCATCTGACATACTTGGATGGCCATTAAAGTATCAAGTTACTTTGCATTCACGAAAGTTTTTTCTGAGTAAGAGTGAGCAATTTCTTTTCACAAATGAAGGCTTCATTTTGTCTTATTTTATACACAAATTACATGTTTGTTTTCTTCGTAAACAATATTATGTTATGTAATGCTTGTTAGTAT